CAATACAATATATATCACTAAAACAACAAAATAATCATATATTTAATAAAAATTTATTGCAACACATTTCTTAAAATATAAAATCCCGCACGTATGTGTGGGTCAGGATCTAGTTTGCTTAATTAATTAAGATTCTAATTCTCCTCTCTAAATCACTCTATGCACGACACCTTATCTTGCGGAGAGACAACCTAGAAAAGGGTTTAATCTTGTTATGCAAGTAATTCTTATTGCGTCGAATCTCTCATGTGTTTATTGTGTAGTTGATAAGTAGATTTTGTCGTACGTGATATATATCTCCACGAAATGAAGATATTAAAATATATAAGCTACTATGTTACGTTAATCATACGTAGTGGAAAATAATAGATAATTGTTGTTTGAAATGCATTATAAAATATATATATGTTTTTCTATTCGATTTCTGAACTATATGGAAGAGGATCAGTTTTGTGTCAGCTGTACTATCGATTCTTGAAGCAATCGCACAGTTTAAAAAAGATTGAAGGAGAAAACACTAATATTATTTTTTAAAATTTAATGGATTTGATAATAAAAAGTTTAAAGAAACATCAAAAAGTGAGTTGGCAAGTAGATGTCTCAAAACACTTAAGCCGTGAAGTTCGCTTACGTTGTGGTCTTTAATTGTTATCTTATAGTACTTATTTGCCACTTGAATCAAAAGATTAAAATAATACTCCCTCCGTTTCGTTTTAGTTGTCGTTTAACGTTTTCTCACACATATTAAGAAAATCATTAAATTTTCTTTTTTAACCTTTATTAATATATTTTATAAAAAATTCATTGGCCGAAACATTAAAACAGTAGGGATAAAACTGGAATTTTCACAAAACATTTGCATCGAAAACCTAAAACGACAACTATTATGAAACAAAATTTTAACTCTAAAACGACAAGTAAAACGAAACGGATGGAGTAAAGATTATGTTATGTGTGTACTGTATTAATTTCTCGCATTTATTAATATCGAATATTAAATCTTATAAATTTGCTTGTGGACATGTGATGGGAAATTGAACTAACAGTTTTTGTGGAAAATATTATTGAACTATACTAGTATGGATGACAAAATTATAAGTTCAGCTGAATGATAGAAACATACAACATTATTATGTCTACATATCTTTTGTTGTTGTTGTTGAAAGTGCATGTTTAATGATTGATCAAGAACTTAGTATCCTACGTACATTAGCTAGGTCTCGGGTTCAATCCCAAAACCGGGTAATGAGTATTTCAAATTTCCAAAATTCGAAGTTTAAAATTTTAAATAATTCTCCTCAATTCCTTCCTTTTTTTTGTTCTTAAAGTTGTAATTCTTAATCGAAAGTAAAGATTTACAAAGCATGTACCCTCAAGGAAAAGTGCCCCTTTTTTCCCAATGAAACTAAACACGTATAAAGTTTATTTAATTTATTCCACTTTATCTAGCAATAATCAAACATTATTGACTTTATTAATTGTATGGATGTTTCTTTTTTACTGTGCAATATGGAACCATTAGTATTGAAAGTTGCAACCCTCGGAAAGAAACTTTGTTATTAATATCAATATGTTTTCCTTTTAAACCCTAACCATACGTTTATAGAGCTAATTTACATTTTATGTGGGACAACAAACTAAAATTTGTATATTTGGACGACATACCTTATACGAGTTTGAATCCGGATAGTGATATACCCTACTCCTATGCTCTAATTATTTTAAAATATATCTGAGTTATATATATGAGCATAACTCGACAAGTTCAAATATAAATAGATAATTTTATCCTATTTAAGATCAATAAAGTACGAGTCATATCTCTATAATAGATACAGTATTAAAGAGAAAAAGTTAATAATTTATTTTCTTTATTCGTCTAATTAATTTCAAATCACTTTATTAAAGATAGGATTAAAGAACAAAACCCATATAAAAGACTTTGCTTTCCTTTGTAAAGAGAGCTTTATTTATAAAGTGAATTTTCAGAACCCAAAAGAAGCACATACTGAAAAGTTTAAGATTTGAAAGGAGAAAAGAAAAAAATGGGCAACCAACAAAAGTTAGTCACCAAATCCATTGAAACCCTAAAGAAAGAAGAAAAAATGGCCTAAGAATATATATACATAGTATTCAAAAAAAAAAAATATATATATATATATAGTATTCAACTATGCATATATTTGAGAAAATCTAGCACGCAATGTAATATGTCTTAGTACTCCATATATATTCGAACATGTGATTACAATTCTAAAATGAAGAAGTATCTACAATTAGTTAATTAATCCCACATTGCATTGCCACTACGAGTCTACGACTACGTAGTGTATACACAAAAGCGTATAATATAATATTGACATGATTTTTCTTGTATTACCAAAAAATTGTCGTTGTATTATAGAAAAAATAATACATGTTATAATTAATATACATGCAGATGTGAACATTCTTTTTTTTTTTTTTTTTTTTTTTTTTTTTTTTTTTTTGGTAAAAAGATGTGAACTTTCTTAATTGTCTTTTAATTCTGATTTGGCCATAAACTTAAATCTAATCGCCTTTAGAGGAATGTGAATACAACTGTTTAAAATCAGAATATATTATCACTTTGCAAAAATAGCTCAAGGGATAAAATTCTTCGTCTACGTAAATAAATACGCACATTTATATTCCCTTTTTGTGTATGTCTATTACATTTTTCTTTAATTTATATTAATTTATAACTAAAAAGTCGATCTCTTTTAAAAGTACTTAAAAGTTGTTCTTTTGCGACTATATAGTATAAAGGTACCAATGAGAAAACATATAGTATAAAAGCACGAATTTGAGAAGAAAAAAAAGAGAAACATGAACATCGATTAGTGCTTTCCTTTTCCTTTTTCTTTTCCTCTTCTTTTTTTTCCCTTTCTCTCATCTTTAACACTTGCTTTAGTGTCTAATAAACGTACGTGAAATGTTAATTTAAAGAAACATGCTTTGCTTATCTTTATGTGAATTTTCCAAGGCAATATCCACTCAACCATTCTACTAAACAATCAAAACCAAATTGCACAAATCATATAGTAGTCCAATTTCATCACTATCCATGGCTGATAAGAAGGGATAGATGTTCCATTTTGGTATAACATAGTCTTGTTCGAGCAGCAAGAACTAGATTTGCGTATACTACTATTATAAGTTCAATTTTTTCGGATTGAAAAATCAATTCCAAAATTATTTTCTAATTTAATATTTTGGTTGACAGAAAAAAAACTCAAACATAACAAACATCAAAATCCAAATTCTTGGTTTCTCTCCATCAAATCAAATGTTTAATCCCAACATAAATGACCCTTGTAAGATCTTCAAAAATTTTGAAAAGATGAATTCAGATTTAACATTAATTTTGATTTTTTCAGTTTTATTGTAGTTTTAAAAATAAAAAAATTAGATCATTCACTTCAATATATATGACGTAAACTTTCGAATATAAAAATTACAATCCGCACAAGACCATGACATGTAGTCTACTAGTTTTTAAACATAAATTTAAATCTAATATAGTGCATCTTGATGATAAAAAAAAAATTACGCATCGTATCAAAAGATTATTGATTTTTTTTTTGTAATAAGTATTGACATAATTTGTATTTCATAACTTAATATAGATCCAACTCTGCTTATATTATTTTATATATAAAAAAGTCTACTATTATTAAAAAAAAAGGACTATATTTATTCGAAAGAAATAAACAAATGAGGAAAATGGAAGGATGACTTGGAAAAGGGTGGCCAAAAGATGATGTGAGCCTTGAATTGAAAGCTGATCCCTCCCTCTACTCATTCATGCTTATGCTTATTCATCTCTTCTCCTTTTCTACGCAACACACCAAAAACGCCCTCTCTTTGGCGGCTTTCTCCATATCCAAATCTTTCTCACTTAAATATAAGATTCAATGAAATATAGTGATGTATCATTATCATTCTCATGTATATCAGTATATCTAAAATCATAAAATCGAAAGGAACGTAATTCTTTCAATCAAATTGCTGCTCTCTACTCATATTTCCAAAGATTTTAATCATCCAAAAATGTTAGTCAACGATGAAAATAAGAAGAAGTAGATGATGCATATGCGAATTTATAAGGGGATAATACTATATTATATGGATAATATAATTAGGTTTTGAATGTGATATTTATTTTGTTTTTGTGACACAGCCCCAGTTCAGAAAATATTAAGAATTCGCCATTAAACATACGTACCCCTTCCAAATCACTGTTGACACATACGAACATCATTTTAAAGATATTTAATAATATCTCAAAAATATTGTATGAATTAGTTAAATCTATGAAAGCCATTTTTACCCAAGAAAAAAAAATATCGATTGTTCTCTGCTTTTGTCCAAAATTTTAACTTGTTTGATGCAACCAAATAAAGCTCATTCTCTTCATATGAAATGATGTTCTGAATTTTTGCAAGTTTAGCTAACAACTAAAACAATAAGAAGTATCCCGCATAATTCATTTATTGGTAGCTAGTGACTTAATTAGCAAAGAGAGTAAATTGAAAAATAAATAGAATATACATAAATTTTGATTGAAAAAAGTCATGTAAATATTAGAACAAATATGTTAAACATCACTACATATATATATATATATTTAACATCACTATTCCTAATAAACTTTTATAAAATATACGGAAAGACAATGGAGTACTGTACTAAAATACACAGATTTTGGAGAAAAAGTAAAAGAACAAAGAATACACACATTTTGTCAGCTGATATATGGATCGATATTTCTTTGAATGCAATAAGCAATAAATGCGCCTAACATATTCTTTCATATTTTTTTAATATTCTCCCTACTAACACTATTGCTTTTCTCTCCTTTCCTACGAAAAAGATATAATAATAATGTTTTCACAACTAAATCTTTTTACAGAAAGAAAAAAAAAATATTGAAATCTTCTTCCTATAAACGTCTCTTCTCTCTTTCATCACTGCAAGAAACTTAATCACAACTCTCTTCTTTCTTTGCTCTCTCTCTCTCATTTTTAATGGCGACCCAAGATTCTCAAGGGATTAAACTCTTTGGCAAAACCATAACATTCAACGCCAACATCACACAGACGATTAAAAAAGAAGAGCAGCAACAACAACAGCCAGAGCTACAAGCGACAACACCCGTTAGATCATCATCGTCGGATCTGACGGCTGAGAAGCGTCCAGACAAGATCATACCATGTCCGAGATGCAAGTCCATGGAGACTAAGTTTTGTTACTTCAATAACTACAACGTTAATCAACCAAGACACTTCTGCAAAGGTTGTCAGCGTTACTGGACTGCCGGTGGAGCTCTCCGGAATGTTCCCGTCGGTGCCGGTCGTCGAAAGTCCAAACCTCCGGGACGTGTCGGTGGGTTCGCCGAGTTGCTTGGAGCTGCGACTGGAGCCGTTGATCAAGTGGAGCTGGACGCTTTGCTAGTGGAAGAGTGGCGAGCCGCCACGTCTCACGGTGGTTTCCGACATGATTTTCCGGTGAAGAGACTTCGTTGTTACACCGATGGTCAATCTTGTTAATTATTTTTACATTTTTATTTGTTTGTTTTCGGGTTTGGGTTTGGGTTTGGGTGGTTTGCTATATTTAACCCGTAGAAGAAAAGAACGTGGTTAAATTTGCTTTTGCTTTGATTACTCTGGATACGTACAGGCTAGCAACAAAATTTAACTAGTTAATTGCTAATTAATTAGTAGGTTTTTAATACTTGCTTCTCTACTAAACAGCTGTCGCTTTTTAATTTCTCTTGTTGAAAATTTTAGTTGTAAATTGAAGCTCGTGGCCGTGGGATTTTTCTTCTATAAACAAAGACGGTGTCGTTGACCATTAATTACCCTCATAAACCTATAGAAATTTAACTTGCTGGTCTTTGTAGCTTTGCATCGTTTAAGTGTACGTAAAGTTAGTTAAAAATTATGGACATTAGTCTAGTTTATCTTTAAACCAAGAAGAAACCTCATTCAATTGGACATTTAAGTTTTCACTTTTCAGCTATAAACTGACAATCACACACAATAATGGGAGACCTACATAACTAGAATAAGGTTTTTACTGTTAAATGAAGAAAAACACTGGTCTTAAATCTTAAAAGTTGTCAAAATATACACCTTATCAACATTTGTGGATGATAATAGTATGTCACATTTTAGTGTTACAACTAAAGATGATTTACCGTCCCAAAGCAAAGCGAAACACTCAAGTGTAGAACCCAATAGTAACTCGACTCCATATCTAAAGTGGTCAGCAATGAGTACCGCAATTCGCAGAGACACTTTACATATTTTAGATTATTAATTTCCTAATTTTCGATAAACTGGTTTAAGGTAGAAAAACACGAAGCTAACTAGAAAAGCTACCGTGATGAAGCACATAAAAGAATATGACAGAAGAAGAGACAACAAAATCAAGACTTGTTTGTGTGCAAGTCATGTCCTGAATTGAGAAAGGAAATGGTGGGTCCTGTGAATTGAGTTCTGGGTTGGTCAGAGTTTATAAATGCGGAGCTAAGAAAATCAATGAGATTTGGATGAGTTAAAATGTAAAGGTTTTGGCAAAAAAGAGAACACAACGTTGACTTGTAAGAGAAAGAAACTGCAACAACCAAATGACAACAAATCCTACATTTTAAGCACTAAAGAAAAGTAAGAAACCATGACATAATAAGATCATAAACGAGAGAACGAGCAATGGGAACAATTCAGACATGTTTACTTTCTCCATCGAGAAACATCAGTTTCTTTGGGTCCGAACGATATCTAAAACCGAAAAAAAGAGAAAGAAAGAACGGTAGAATGAGATTCAGACAACGAACTCACTCACTCAGGACATGATTTTGGCAGACCGGACATAAAGACTGTCGACGACCTTCCCCATGTTTGCAATGGTGTCGAGAGTAGCTGAGTAGATAGCATCTGCCTTTGGGTCTTCGAAGATGATGAGGCATCCAGCTCCTTGATCCAATGTCCCTGCAAATTTCTTGTCGAGTATCATCTGAGATAGCTTCTTCTCCACATGGTCGAGCGGCAATCCAATCAGCTCAGCAATGTGTGCTATCTCAACCCTTGAAAAGGGCTCGATCAAACGACACAGGTTTTGCTCCAAAAGCGTGTCATAGAGAGACGAGAGATGCCTGTGGACAATTGGGTCATCTTCAAGCTGTGCTTTGTAGTCACGGAGTGCGTTCTCAAACAGTTTCAAGGATCTCTTTGAGTGAGCATCAGCGACTGCTTTCATGGCATCCAAGTCAGGGCCAACATATTGTAGTCCAGCCTTTGAGGAGATTATTCCCGCAACATCATCAGCTTGGCTAACCATGATCTTGCACAGTAACATGTATTTCAAACTGAAAACCGCTCTTGGATCTCCGAGAGCATTGAAGGACTCAAAGGCTTCAAAGAAGTAACTGTATCCGGTTTTGTAGTCCTTCTCTTCAGCGTGAAGAATCCCACTCTGCAGGTCTATGGTGCCTTGTTGAGCCGGTGGGACATATATAGCGTTAGCAGCTGTCCTAGCTGCAGTGAGTGCAGCTTTTGCCTTGGGTAAGTTTCTCAATGAGAAGTGAAGTTTGCTCTCCAACAAGTCTATGTCAACCAGAAGGAGCTTATCATCTAATCTCCTAACCTCTTTTACCAAAGTACTCAACAGTGCCAAAGCTTCAACATACTCCTTGTTCTCCATCAAAAGAGCTGCAAGCCTAGCCTCTACTCGCTGCCTGAGGAAAGTACGCTTCTCAGCGCGAGTCCATTCCACCATTTCTTTGCAGAGAGTGATCTGAAGATCAGTTGTTCCAGGTATCTTTGCCACAGCATCAATGATTCCTCTGACGATTTTAGCAGTTTTCGCCTTGGGGATTAACGAAAAGAAAGGCCTCAACTTGGTCAACAGTTTCCGGAGATCCTCACCTCTCTTCTCTTCAGTAAGTCGATCACAGAGATTTGTAATCGCTTGCTCCTTGATCCGTATAGCCTCTGGAGATGAAGAAGGGTCTTCCAAAACCTGATACAGTATCGAAATAGCCTCCGAGCTGTTGGCTTCTAAAGCCAGGGAAATCGTCTCTGTGGTAGCAGGATACGAAACCATTGTGGGTTTTGTGCAAACTCAAATCCCTGCAACATTAAAGCCATAGATGTGTTAATGCAATGCTCAAATATTTTCTCTTTTCAAACTTATTCCTACTCTTTAGGTTCACATCACTACAAAACCAAACCCACTGTTGATACAATGACAAGAAAATCAGATAAAAGCATAGAAAGAATGAAAAATTATCACTGTAATCCATCCAGTCTTCTATATCTAATGATCAAGACAAGTCTAGAGATCTATCACATAAAAACTAAAACGAGGCAAAAAATAGAGCAGCATAAGAACTTAATTACAAATCTTATGGAACTATAACCTAAATTTTAAGTAATACGATGAATTACAGAGACATAGTTCAGTAGTTATTAACTAATCAGTTCGAATTCTTCGATTCATCTTACTTATAAGATCCATTTAATTCTGTATTCAGCTTCGTTCTAATCAGTATTAATACATCCTCGAGCCAATCTTCACTGAGATCAACTAAATCGAAGAAAGCTAAACCCTAGAACTATCGAGAGAAGGAACCAGATTTGGTTTTTAAGAAATCGACACCTAAACCCAGAACTAACTAGATCTGATAAGCAAACCCAGAAGAAGAATTGAACAGATTTCGAAAGAACAAGACTTACCGATGAATCGGCAGAATCGTCGGGCGTGAGATTTTGGTAAAGCTTTCGACGACGGTAGAGAAGAAATAGAAGATTCGTAAGATTTTTGGCTTGAAAGAAAAGATAAATGGACAGTCTTCTCGTAGTTTTACAATTTTTTCAAGGGTATATTTGTCTTTTGAAGCTGGAATCACGAATAGAGAACGCTTTCAAATTGGGCGTCTTAAAACGCCAGACGCCGCAAAAGATAGTGCAAACGCGTTTTGTAATTCAGGCCTAGTAGCCCAGACTAAAGGCCCAATATATACAGATCCGCCTTCTATTGGTAAGGGTTCTATTTTATTTTATGCCTGTTTTTTTTTTTTTTTTTTTTACCTCAAACTATTTTTTTGTAATATCGCAGGAGGCGACTCCATTACCTTGTATGGCCCGATTTTTTGGCAGGATATGGAGAGTGGTGGCGACAGAGAGAGTTCGCTGCTTCCTTTGGCTTGTTGGACATCAAGCTATCATGTCCAATGAGGAGAGGGTAAGACGACACCTAGGAGATAGTGTGGTGTGTCAGGTTTGTAGGGGAGCTGCGGAGTCTATTATCCACATTCTACGGGACTGCCCTGCGATGGAAGGTATATGGAGAAGATTGGTTCCCCCACGGGAGAGACAGTCTTTCTTTGCTAAGTCGATCATGGAATGGCTGTTTGATAACTTGGAGAGCCGGAACGGGCAAGGAAGTGAGAACTGGCCGACTCTGTTTAGTGTAGCGGTTTGGTGGGGTTGGAAGTGGAGGTGTATGAATGTCTTTGGGGGAAACTGGTAAATGTCGGGGTAGGGTGCAGTTTCTCAAGGACATGGCTGCGGAGGTTACAAAAGCCCATGAACTCGCTCGGGGCAACCAAGGTGGGCAGCCTCGGGTTGGAAGTGGACTCCGAGTTGGTGGTGGGATTTTTACGCTCTGGGGTAAGCGACGCTCATCCCTCAGCTTTCCTGGTACGTATGTGCCATGGCTTCATATCAAGGGACTGGTTAGTCCGAGTTACTCACGTGTATAGGGAAGCTAATCGCCTAGCGGACGGATTGGCTAACTATGCTCTTTCATTGCAGTTAGGTATTCTTTCATTTGATTTTTGCCCCGATATAGTCAAACCGATTATGTTGGAGGATGTTAATGGGACGGAGTTTTCCCGTCACATTCGTTTGTAATTCTTTTATTTTATTGCAATAAATTGGAGGGGATTTTCCCCTCTTTCTCACCAAAAAAAAAAAAACTCTTTTTTTTGTTCACAACTTTTTTTTTTTGGTAGGATTTTTGTTCACAACTTTTACCTCAAACTTAATAATTATGAGTTGATAATTCACATTATATGTTTCAGAACTTTCAATATGCATGTAAATGATGTAATTTATTTAGAGTAGGTCTTTCACTACATCATGTGTATTTGTTCAATCGAAAAGTAGAAATAAATATTGGAAGGTAATCAAATCATTCATAAAGCAAAGAACTCCCAAAAATAAAACAACAACAACAGAAAAAAAAAATGATTAAGTAAACTCAGACAGACACATATAAACATAAATAAATGTTTTATATATTAAAAAGAGTCATCAAAAAGAAATTAAAATTGTTGAGACTTTGAGAGATGTATATGGTGTATATATATGTATATTAAGCTTAGAAGGTGACGTCAGGGACGATTCCAAGCTCCTTGAAAGCTTGAGGACATTCAGCGAGAGGAGTCTTCCTCATGAACCCAAGTGGGTTAATGGTTCGAGTCTCGTTGGAGACAATGCCATCATTGGCCGTGAGACTGATTCTGGCTGCGTTTCTTAGGAACTCTTGGTTGTTCACGTCTCCACACTCTGGGTCAGGTGATTGGACGAGGACGATCTCGCACACTTCCTCTTCGTGGTCACCCATTACTTCCATCTGGTAGTTTCCGGCGTTGTCGGTCACAGCTTCTTTGGTCAATGTCACTGTCTGGTTCTCACGACCCTTGCACTCAAGCTTTACCTTTGCCCCTGATATAAATACAATAACGTAAGTTTTTTTTTTTTTAACTTGCAACACTAACTCTAAGACATGTGAATAACCACATTTTTATAAATTTTTAACATTTTTAAAAAGACGTCTATGCTTGTAATCATTTTTGTGAATTTTTCCTACTTCACAATTCAAACCATTGATCTATATATTCCTATTGACGGTACTCTCATATGATCGAATATCGATAAATGAATTGATTAGAGAATGTAGTTAATTACCTTCGAGGAACTTGCTGAGACGTGTGATGAATTGGACACGGCATGTGTCGCAGTAGACAGAGCCCTTGATGTGGAATTTGTCGAAGTCGTCGGCATCAGCTGCGGTGAAGTGAATAAGGGTGGTGAAACATAGGGCAGAGGCAAGGAAGACAATGAAGAATTTGGCCATTATGCCTTAATTCTTTTTTTTTCTTGTGTTTTTACTTCGGTCTTCTCCTCTCTTGTATTTGAGAGTTTATTTGTAAAATTAGTTTTGAAGTGAACAAATTGTAAGCTTTGGTTGAGAGGAGACGCTATGATAGATCCAACCAAATATCTCCTTTTATAGAGAACAAATAGACAAAACAACAAAAACCATGTGATTCTATATCTATTTTTGGAAGGTTTTTGTTTATTTTTGGTGTTTGTGTTCTTGAGTTTTGTACGGCTGTGTATTCCTTGAACCCGATCTTTTCTCATTACCATCTGTTTTTTTCTGCTAATAATTTCTTCTTTATGGATTCCAACTAGGTTCTTTCTTTTCTTGTGATGAGGATGTTTTCTCAAATGTCAATCTAGAATCTTATTTATGTTTTTATACGTCCACTAAAAATTCAATGGGTGTGGAGAATTATCTACTAGACCCAAAATGAATGAAAGTTTAAGTAGAGTAGTAAATGACTAATTTAATATGAGCCGCACAAGAAAACTTTTGCACAAATTTCTTTGAATTAAAGAATGAAACAAGAAAATATGCAGCAATAAGAAAAATTCCAAAACACATTTGACTAGAGAAAAATGTCTTCAGCTGAATCTGTTATTTTGAATTGGGAAACAAAAATTTACTTGAAAAAACAGCAGGGAAGAGTAGAGGTTGAACATATAACTTTCTCTTTAAGAAACCTGAATCTATAATAACATCTTCAAGTGTTGTATCATCAGCAAGCTATTACAAGAAAATCATGTACAGATGAATTGGAATATACTTCCTCTGATTTCGCCAACAACAAAAGAAAAGCAAAGATGTGAACGTTCTTGATCTGCACCGATCTCCCAAACTGTATAGTAAAAGAAAAACAGGAATGGTTCAAATGTCGCGGCACACGCAACATTAACGGGTCAAACACTCGAAAGCTCACAGTTTATAAGCTGGCGGTAATAAACGTGGAAGACTCTTGCTGTTTTATACTATCTGCAACATGCGCAATAACTCCAGCTCCTGCTTTGTAAAGTCTTTCACTTTTCACCTGAAACAAGATCCAAAATCTCTCTTAGTACATGTATAAAAGAATAAAATAGCTCCAAAGTGACGATGCTTGAAGTTTACGTGAATGTTGTTATGAGCTAAGTAAGGCCAGAAGGTGGAGTGGAAGCTGACATCAACTTTCTTCCACCCTAACCTCTGCAGACCGCGGATCATTTCCTCTGCACCAATATTTGTATAAACTGTAAATTTCATGCCGATTTAGAAGAAGCAATAAAAATGTTTGGGCTAAGAATTGGCTTTATCTACACCTTCCACAATTTCATGATACTCAAGTGTGTTCTGAGGGCTAGGAGAGCTTTGTGCGGCCTCTTTGGCTTTAGCAGCTTCTGGAGGGAAATGGGCACCATCTGATGAAACAGGTGGACAGTATTCTACATCAACAACATGCTTGTATCCATCCAGAGACCGGCGTGGAGGCTACATTAAAACAGGGGAAAATCATATCTATCAGATCTCAGTCGTGACAGCTAAATAGTTTTCAAACTTGCATTTGACTGGTTAAAAGCCGCAGAGAGCTTCTTGCACGAAGAGAATAACTATCAATCTTTTCTAAGCTATTTGAGATAAATGAACTGCCACAAGTATTCTTGGTGATTCTCTACAGGCAATTGTTTACAGTACAACATGTCAGCTGTATATTGATCTGCAAATACCAAGCTATTACAGTTATGGTTTAGCTACAGATTACCAAGACCCAATCGCGATTCGCGAGATCTTAATTTCTGAGAGATTTTTGTCCTATGGAATTATGGTGGTGTTGATCTAGTGGACAGTACAAGGGTTTCAACAACTAGCGTGAAACTTTCCTCTATGATCACTCTCATAATTCCAAAATTGAGTATACATTCACCACCGTTAACATTTCACAGCGAGCAAACTATTAATATCGATGACCCCATTATCTAGCTAGTGTGCTACAAGTTTCAGAGTCGAGTTTATAGAAGGAACCGGATGGGATGAAATATTAAATAGAAAGGTTTCATTGCTTCATATTGCATGAAACGTACCTTGATAAGTTCAGTTTCTCTCCTTATGGAAGATGTACGCCAACCAACCATGTCTACTTGATGTCAAAGGAAACAGTTCAGAAAACAAATGCAGACAAAGCTAGGCACTAGGCACACCTGTACTAGTTAAACAGCAACAGAAATGCACAGGATACGGTCATAAGATACGTTTGCATATATAATGCGGCTTCGAAATGCCCCCAGCGCCGATCTGCCAGACAATGAAATGCATTAGGATTACAAATAAGTCATTAAGGGGTATAAAGATTTAAATTGGTAAGAGCATTACTCACAAGAATTTCAGATCTTCACCATCAGATGCCATCCTCAAAAGAAGAGGTGGTTTATCAGCTTTACCATCAGTGAGGAACAACTGGCTACCAGTCCGACCAACAAAGAACGGAGCTATTGGTGCAGCAAGTTTCTCTAGAATAGGAACTCCCAACAGAAAAGGCAGCTGATACAAGGAGTTTCAGAAAAAGAGGAGAGAATGAGATAGAATTTACAGGGATTATCAATTAATATTCAGCAGTCTAGGCACGTAGGAGACCAGATAGCAAAAAATGCAAGACAGTTTAGATGAAACTTATGATATCTGTCGGAACTCAAGTAGGAGGTATATGAAATATACATGTGAATAACGACTAACTTCTTTCTCAACTAAGAATACACCACATCTTCATACAGGTACTCCGAGATATATATATGAAACTCTCTGATTCTAATTATGATTAAGTAGTGAAGAAGAGAACCTGCTTTCTGCCTCTCACTCCAAGATGAGGTGTTGCCAAAGTGATGAAATTAATCGGTTCGAGCCCCGCAATCCTACCTCGCAGAAGATGTGAATCGCCAGATTTAGAGACAGCAACATCACTTGCTTGTGACATTGCTGCTGAGTAAAGAACAGCAACAGCATGTCTGGAAAATAAGCCACCGAGGGAGTGGGCTAAAAAAGAAATCTTCTTTAAGCTCTTGCTCTTTTGGACAACTTGTCTAACCTATTCCTCTCTCACATCCAGAATGGAAACAGAAATTAGCTGATCTACTGAAGTTAAGGACTAGAAAACCAAGAAGTGGAAATGACTTTGTAGGAATATTAAAACTCACCTCTTCAGCTAGTCGTTTTCCAGCTCCATCGACCCCGCCAAATGTTTTAGTGAAGGTATTGGAAGAACTTGCTGTGCATGTTTAGGAGAAATAGAGTAAATTAAAACGCATGTGATTCATTCCACGCATAGCATAAAAGAACACGAGTAGAATAATAAAATACAAAGTTTAAGAAGAGGAAGGAAAACGAGTTGTGGTTTCAGACAAAAGATCTGAAATTTTTCCGAAAATGTATCTTTCGCCTCTTGCCGCTAAGATTATATAAGACTTTGAAGTTTTTAAAATTTTGAGCATTCAACTTAAATTACCATTCCGTTCCCAAAAATCTCTTCCATTTATAATCCAACAACTAATAGAGGATAACAAATTAAAACAAGATGAGCATACCATAAATCAAGAATCTTCTTCCAAGGCGTCTTTTCAGCTCAGCTTCTACGTAGAGCCAGTCGCTGGGACTGCAAGTAATTGTGTCTTAGTAAATTTAGAGTCTATAAGTTATTCAATCTGAAAACAATGTAGCAGAAATGATAGACACAACTTTCAACTTCAAATTCAATACTTGCAAGTTTCTATCCCAAGCTGAAGACAGGCATCGATAATACGAAAAAACAAAACAAAACCATGAGGGCTTCCCTAGATGCAAACCTAGTACCATTCAAATGATGAACTTCTTAGACATCATACCTGGCCAAAATACCATGTACAAGAACAAGAAGATGATCAGGTACATTTTTATCATCAGTGTCGCCTTTCGATAAGGAAAAATTCCGTTGGGCTGTGGAACTCATTGCTTGAACCCTGAGTCTCTGTTGGTTACAGCTTCTGCTTGACCCTACTTAAAGAGAAATCAAACAAAAGAACACAAATGAACCCGTGGAAAATTCTGTGTATATATATAGTAACACTGAAATTGAGCTCTTCCTTAATCTAAATTACACGATACTATTCTTCACCATTCAATCGATCAGTCCTAAACTACATCTATGATCGAGAAATCCTCAGCTATGAAACTTTGCAGTATAGCGTCAGATTAACACTATCAATTCCAGATATAAAGACGAATCATTCATACACATGAACAAATAAACCAAACAAGAGTCGAAAAACCAGAAGAATCGAAACCAATTACCGAAATCAAAATTCAAAATCTCCGAATAACCACAAGAACACGAAGAAAATGACGGCGAAGAAGAAGAAGACGAAGAAGAAGCTGAAACAACGCCGGAAAATTGCCGCGCTCTACGAGAGCTTGGCTTACCACGATCCGGTGAGTATCTAAAAGGAGGTTGTTGAATCCAAGAAGCCGTAGACATATTGATGATACACTGGTGAGCTTAAGCTTTATATAGAGAGAGGAGAGAAAGTCAAAATCAGAGAAAGGAGTGGAAGAAAGATCCTTGAATCACGGTTTCTGAGTGACGTCACGCTTCAGAATCAAACATAACTCTCTCTGCGTTATCTTCTTCACGGAGACCCATGCTCCTCTCTATCTCTTCCATTCACTGCCAAATAAACATTCAATCATCATCTTCGACTTTGCCAATTTTTCTGAGTTTAATTATATAATATAATTTTTTTGTACTGAATTATTTAGGGTGGTGTTGTTAAAGCGACGACTTAAGCACCTTGGGAAAAATAAAACACAGAATAATTTATTTCAGAAAACGAAACATGGATTTTTGGAATTTTATAGTCGAAACTCGAAAGTGTAGAATTTGGACCAGATTCTTCCTCTTCATCTACCAACAACATCCAAAACAAAGCTCAAATTTTTTTTTTTTTTTTTATTAATTTAATATTACTTTTAGTAAATATATACCAAAACGTTTTTGAATTTCGTTTAAAAAATTGCATTGAAACTAATAAAATGACCATATTACAAACGATATGAAACAAGTGATAAACACATTTATTTATTATGAAAGGGAGGGAATACATTATATGGAGTAATAAAATGACCATATTACAGTTTTTAAGGTCAAGCTTAAGTTGCAATGTGACCGCATGTAAACGATCACTAGTTAAGGAATCGGATAAGCAGCAACCTGAGCTATACCACACATTCCTTGAGGCCACTCCACATCTCTACGGATCCTCATGTAACCATTTTCTCCCCAACTCTCACCCCAAGAGTTTTTAAGTACCCAGTAGTTGAGCCCACTCATCGTTCCGTACCCAACGAACGTCACTGCATGATTCACGTCTGTCCCACAGTCCAGCCCAGCGTACACTCCCCCTTTGTAATTTTTGAAACTGTCCGCCCTTGCGTCTATCAACACCGAGACGGGCTGTCTTCTTACGGCCTCAAGCAACGCACGCTCGTTGTGGCTTGGAACCATTTCGAACCGGCGAACCCTCTAATCTGTGTCTGTGTGGCGGGTCTGGCGTTGGCACGACAGCTCCCCTTTTTCACTTGGTAAGGGTATTCCGTTTCTAAAGAAACGCCTCCGTTTTTTATTATGTACTTGAAAGCTTCTTCTATTCCTCCGCCATCGCAACCAGTGTTTTTCTCTGTGTCGCAATCTATAAGCTGCTGTTCGGACAGTGTTAATAGATTTTTGCCAGATATCTTTGTCAAACCTTCCATCGCCCCAATCACTGAGAACGCCCAACAACTTCCTGCCCATGTGTATATATATATACAGGGCCGGTCCTTGTGTTTGTGTGGCCTAAAGCTTAAAAAAAATTGTGACTTCACTCTATTTTCCTAATGTTGAAAATTAAATCTATATAAATTCTTATATTAGCATTGAGTTAGTTTCCAATTATTTTTATGTTTATGTAAAAAAGTTATTTAAAATAATACTTTTAGATATAATAATAAATATTTGTTTTTCTTATAAATGTTTTATATTGTAATGCTTTGCACACACAAAAAAAAGTTTTATATTGTAATGAAATAAAAAGAGTATAGGGTAAAACTAAAATTAAAAAACTAGTTTTAAAACAGTAAAATTTGCAACAAAGGCAGATAATATTATTAAAAAACTAACAAAATATGACATATAAAATAAAATAACAGTTAAAAAAATTAGTTAAAGGTAAAAGCCAAAATTATATTTTTTTTACTAAACTATTGAAGCAAAAGTCTTAAAACCAGAATATTGGAAAGTTAGATGTGGGAACACAGAGAATGATTTTCAATTTTGGAGATGTAAAAAGAAAAACTAAAAGTAGAATGTGAGGAATAGGAATCGAACCATCACTAATTTGCTCCACAAGAAATGAATGAAGACCACTAGACTAATGTCTCTTTTGGTTGTGTGGCCCTAAAATTCAGATTATAATGTGTGGCCTAAAGCAAATGCTTTGCTTGCCTTAGGCAAGGGCCGGGCCTGTATATATATATTGGTTACTTCATTTTGTTACGAAACAATCATCTGATAACCCTAAACCTAGAATAACCCTAACTTGGGGATTAAGTTTTGCGTTATGTATTTTTTTGTATGTGGAATGTAATTATGACATTAATTAAATGACCAATCCAGCCGTTTACTATATATCGTACGTATATCGTTTTCCGACCAAAGAATACCGACAAATCTGTTTCTATGGAAATTCGGTTGAAACAAGATGTTCCGACGAATTCTTAGGTCGGAATATGCTATGCTTTTTTGTACCGCGGTTTCCAATTATATAGTGTAGACTGTTTATAGTATATAATCACAGTAAGTTTACCACATGCTCCTTGAACTTTAACAGGTGTTACAGCTCCTTCCTCTCTCCAGTCTTTGCTTTCGTCGTCGATGTCGATATCACTAATGTTCCAATTCCTTGATGGCATCGTTTCATTAAATAGTTCGGATAGTGAAGTTATGTTAACGCGGAGGCCGGTGTGGGTGGCAAGGAACTCTTCTGTTGTCCAATCCGTGAACTCGTTAACACCAACTGTGTAGCTTTGGTTCCCCATATTATTGAAGTTCTCAATGAATTTCAAGTTTTTCTCGAACACTTTAAGCCTCATTTCTTTCTAGGATTCATCCTGGTAAACTCGAGAGAATTGAGTCATCCATTGCTGGTGGTAATCAACAATGGATTGCTCGTTCAAAGTGACATGAGGTCTGGCTTGAGAGATCCTTAGATCCATGGAAAGAATGGTTAGAGCCACCAACACAGAGCATACCGACACCATTTTGATTTTTGTGAATAATATTTAAAAGGGTTTGTGTTGTGGTGGGGAGAAAGAGTTTTTTTTTTTATATAGAGGGAATGAGAGTTGTTATGTTGGAAGCAAATGCATGAAAGTTTATGACTCAATTGTGGTAATTACATAGTTTTCATTACTTGCTTCATGATCTTGGAGGAACAACTTTATCCATTCCTTGGTTTAGCAAGATAACTTTCCATTTATCCCAAAACCTCTCATGGAACATGACTTCCTTATTGCGTTTCACCGCCAATGCTATTGTACTAGTTATTTCATTTTGTCTAACTTTCCCCTGAATCCAACGAAAAAGTAAAAAAGAAACGAGATTAATGTAGGTGATGGAGGACTTATGTCTATGTGGAACCATTTAAAAATATTTGTGCTATACTAAAAATATACAAAAGTGGTTTCTAGTGGAACACAAGTTTAAGACTCAGATCCACCTATTATTCTTAGCTTTGGTAATTCGAGACTAGTAGCTAGGTGATCTGTTTTAATTTTCTCGTATAGTGATCAGTTATTTTTACATGTGGAATCATTTAAGACTTAGCATACCCAAAAAATAAGAGCGAAAGAGATTTCTAGTGACACAAGTTGAAGATTTGCATAATATTCATACTCAAATTTCTAGGACATTTTCGTCATGGACATGTGAAATTAAGAACAGGGACAAGTCTGCTTAATTTCTAGGAGTTTTGCTTTTTCTTGATTTCTATATGTTCTTGTCTTTTCTAAATTCCTACGTTCTCGTTTTTTTCTTGATTAATATCCGTAAATGTTCTTGCTTTTCTTGATTTCAATGTTTTTGTTCTTTTCTTAATTACGTTTGAACTAGTTCAGAAGTACCAGCTAAAGTCTAGAGTCACTATAGAACATACGATGTGGTGTCAACGCTTTGGAGAAAGTAACAGCGGTTCTTGACGAATTGCTTAATCAGGATTTCCAAAAAGACTATAAGTTAGCCCAACTGTCTGCATTCACTCTGCAAACTATGGCTCGGTGTTACGACCGGAATTGAGAAATACATATTAAGTTGGAAAAATAGCTCAAGAATTGTATAGATGGAAAATATATAATGAACTTTATGTTGGCATAGCTAGGAAAGTCTTAGAAAATAAACTATTTATTTATTTATATCAAACATAATGTTCATAGACTAGAGATATAATGTGACCAAGGAAATAGGTTTCCCTGAATCTTAACAAGGTAAATTAGAGAGATGTATTTACAGCATCAACAAGATTATATATTAACTATAGATAATAATAGTTGGATACTGCGCAATGTTTCTCTGTAACTCTACTGGATGTTGAAAGCGAAGTCGTGCGTGGTCCATGCACCATTCACCTCCATGTACCTCTCAAAGAGCATCACTTCTTTAGTGCGTTTCACAACCAATGCTGTCGTACTTGTTGTTCCAAAGCGTAGCATTCCAAGCTGAATTGAAATGGGAAAAAATGATATTTATCAAGGGATATGGTGAGGATCATAAAAACCATAGATAATTTTCTTACTTCTCCAGAAGGATGATCATCTCTAGTTTGGAGAAACACCGCGTCTCTTCCTCCTTCGGCATCATACATAAACCTCCAAGAAATCTCCTCCATTAGTTCATTGTTTCCCAAGTCAAGAATCATCTGGCTAAACAAGCTTCTCAGGCGTAAATCCTGCATAATACCGAAAAAAAAACAGAGTGTTTTGATTTTAGACATAAATAAAAAAGAAACTATACAAAAAGATTTGGAAAAATTGACTATCGTTACAGTTTTACTCTATTATAAGACACTTGTTGTACTTGATAATTACCCTGGGCAATTCTGTGGAATCGAGTCCATCGTAAGGAGAAAGTGTGTGCACACCAAACGGAACGGGTTGTATCATGACATTCGACTCAGCTTGTACGGGTTTCCTGATATGAACCATTGAATTCAAAGTCATGTCTGCGACTATAAGGCTATAGGACCACCCTTCGGCCGGATCACTCATATATCCATTATTATGTCTTTGCCTTTCACGTCGTGCCACGTGGTCGGCAAACTCCTGTGGACTTTTCTTGCTCTGCAATCAAACAAAGCAATCAATCCCTTGATCAAATAAAGATGTTTGAATAAAATGAAAACCAAAATAAGCAAAAAAAAAAAACCAAACCTCCAAGAATTCAATGGGGTACAACTCAGAGCCGGTGTATTGATCAACGTCGTCTAACAATATCTCTGCATTCACGAGAAAAGCGACTCGGCCTCGTTTAGAAATACCAAACCACGTTCCGTTGTTAGCTACGCACCGACCACTCAAAATCTGGCCACTTCGATTCCAAGATGTCCCACTTATGACCCTATCAATCACTCATAGAAAGAAAAAGTTAGCATCAAAAAAGTGTTCATCAACAACGGTTAATGCAAAAATTAAAACCAAAAACCGTAGAATGAATATTTAACTTGCCTATTTTCCCAATTGTCTCTGTTCATCAGCAGCGTCAGTTGGTTGTTATTACCCTCTCCCCAGTTGAATGCTACGATCCCCATTTTTTAAAGAGTATATATAAGTTTTTTGCTCTTTTAATATCTTGTTCTGTTGTAGTGATTCTGTGTTGTGACTCTCTCTCTGTTTTTATAGCCGAGAGATGATTCACTCTGCTCTGCTTTTTCCTTTCCTTCTTCTTCTTCTTCTTCTCCCAACTACCCCACGCGCTTAAGAGCTTCTTTATCCAAATTTGGGTATATCTTTTGCAGTTTTCTGTCACCATCATACATACTCTCTCCTCCATTCACTAACCACCAGGAACCGTGTCTATGTTATACAATTTACTTTTACAGATTCATGTATATATGTAAAACGAAATTAGTGGCTTCTAGTAGATCAATGTGCTATACTAAGTAAAATGGAAGACGTAGAGTTTCAACATTTCTAAATTGTTCCACTTTTGCTCTAGCTTTTTGCTAATTGAGAGGTGGAGGAGAAGTCATGTGTATGTAGAACCATTAAGAAAATACTTTTACTAATCTGAGTAAAATTGAAATGAAGACGTCAAAGAAAACATCCTGATGAGGTCCACATATGAATGCCACAGCCCCCACTCATTTTTTGTTTGCTATTGAATGAATCACTTGTGATCTTGTAGTCGATTCTCTGCTCTGTTTTTCCTTTACCTCTTCAACTACTTCACGCGCTTAAGAGATTAATTATCTTATTTTAGTATGGCTTTTGCTGTTTTATGTCATCATCATGCTCTACTAAGAATC